CTGTTTGCCTCAGTTTCCTTACCTGTAAAATGAGAAGGAAATGGCAAACTACTCCAGTATTTTTGCCAAGAAAACACCAAATGGGGTCACAAAGAGTCAGACACAACTAAAATCACTAAACAAGAGCAACACACACATACATATATGTTTGCTATAAGGCAATTGAGCTAAGATGGAGAAGAAAGATACAGAACAACAGCTAGCAGAAATAGTCGGAGGTTTTTGTTTTTGTTTTTGAAGACAGAGACATGGATGTGTTTGTGGGCAGCAAAGAAGGAAAGACTGATGATTTATGAGAGAAGGCAATCTACTCTGACATTCTGTGAATCTATGAACCTAAAAAGCTTGGATCTGGAAAGATCAGAAAGCAAGGAAATGAAATAGTTACATGAGTAAGAGGAAAGATAATTCAACTAATATGAAGTGATATTAGATGCTAAAGATAGGAGTTTAGAGCTTTTCATTCACACATCCTGATGGATGTCAGGAAGCTCTCTGTTGTATTTCTGGCCCTTTACTGTGCTCTTTTCAAAGGTAATCTCTAGGACCCTGAGTCCAATCACACACATTCTTCTACCCACTCCCCATCCAACAGTTCAATATAACTGAAATGAATCTAGTTCTAATTAATAGCAAAGGCAACCTTGACATGGAGGCTCAGCACATTAAGCACCTGTGATTTCTTCCACCATCAAATTACAATTTAGTGATAATTTATAGTCTGAGAGAGCTGCCTAAAGCTCACACAGATTAAGCTGTACTAGTAAATGGTAGAGGCAAGATTCGAACCCTAGCTTTTTTCAACTTCAACCCTCTATTCATCATTCTATGTTGCCTCTTAATCTAGAATAAGGGGGAAGAAATGTCATAAAAAAGCAATATGTCACCTGAGGTTGTGAATTGCCCGGGGTCACACAGCCAGAATTTGTCAGGGGCAAGATTTGAACCCAGGTCTTCCTGGCCAACTCTTTAACCACTGCACTACAATGTCTCTCATACCTCATGCATTGCATATTAATTGTTCATGTCTACATATTTATTTTCTTATTTTAAGTCAAGGAAGGAAGGAAAGGAAGGAAGGAAGGAAGGAAGGAAGGAAGGAAGGAAAAAAAGAAAGGATTATGTGCTTATTATGTACCAAGTACTGTGCTAAGTAAACACTGAGGATATAAGTACAAGCAAACAAGGCAGGCCCTGCCTCAGAAAGCTTACATTCTAAAGGGAAGACAATATATAAAGTTGAAAGGAAATGGAAAGGGTTCATGTGCATATGAAAGCAGGTGGAGAGTGTGTGGTGACCTGAGCTCCAGGCAAGAAAAGTCAAAGCCTCATGTATAACAGCCCAGAGTCCCAGGGGGCATTGTCCAGGTTCTGGAGGGGTGGGAAGGATGAGGATAGTCAGAGTGCAAGCATCATGGTTTGGAAATGACTGGCAAGTATATGGTAGCCTGAAATACAGACCAGCTGTAGCTTTGCCCCAGGAAGAAGGGGTGCTTCTTTCTTCCCATAGTCACTCAGCATGGAGTTCTTCACTATACCATGCTACAGGATAGCACGAGTATCTCCAAAGCATTTCTATCAGGGAAAGTGGATGATCCAATCACCTGTTGGATATATAAGTGGGGATTTTGTTTTCATGTATGGATTGTGGACTAGTTGGCTATGGGAGTCCCTTCCAGTTCTCAAATTCCCTAATATTTTAGGGGTCCTACTTCATTGGAAACATGCTAGTAGACTGTAAGCCCCATGAGGTCAGGTACTGTCTCGCTTTTATATATATGCATGTATGCATGCATGTATGTATGTAGCCTCAGCATTTTGCAAAGTCTCTGTAAAGTACTGTTGATCTCTTGATTCACTGATTGCAGAGCCTGTCTTCATCTCTATCCCCAATGGGCACCAAATCTTCCCTCCCTGCCATTGTCCAGCACAATTGCACCTTGACTGGACTGTCTTTTTTGCTGCCAATGCTTCCCATCCCCCCTACTGGCCTTTTTTGGTTTTGTTTTTTGCCCCATGCTGCAATATTACTAGTTACAGCTCTAGCTTCAGTCTTTATGGCCCACTGTCCAGTATTAGCTCATGGAAGGCCATTGTAACGTGTAGCCAATCGATCTACTAATCCATCAGGTGCCTGACTGTATTTTAACGTCTCAGCCCCTGTCCCCTTTTACACTTTTGCAGGTCTCAATTAGCAGTGTCTACTATTGAGAAAATACATATGCCCTAGTGGCCACCAGGGAGCCAAATTAACAAGTTGCTTACCCAAAGTTCAATAAAACATTTGCAATGAAATGAATCCCTGTAGATGGAACTCAGAATAGATTGATTCTGAAAAGATTTTTATCTCCTGGTATGGAAGGAAAATAGCATTTAACCCACATGACAAACCCTCATTAGTGGCAACACGACATCCTACAGCTTGTGCTTTTACCAAAATGCTCATTTCAACACAAGCTTCAAAGCTTTTGCAGAAAAATAAAGGCGGGGGTGGGGGGTGGAGGGAGGTGTGAGCAATTTCCTAATTTAATTGCCTATATGCTGGATCTTGTTTTGTGACTAGGTCTTGCTTTGCTGCTGCAGTCACGCCTGGAATAGCTCTCTGCTGCAGTGTGAGAGGGGTGCTATCACCATTGCCTTGAATTGCCCTACAATATGCCCCTAACTTCCCCTTCCTGGGGTTTCTTTCCATCAGCAAAGAAAAACTGCACTTTGTGCCCTATTCACAAAAGCTCCATCACTGAGGCATTTCCCTCTCTTTCTCTAGCACCAGTGCTTCTTCATTGAGATGCAGGTAACGCCCGGGTACCAAAAGCTGCAGTGCATCATTAAAGTGCTGGGAAGACAAACAGCTCTCACACTGCATACCAAGTGGCATTGCATTTAACTGCATTATTTTATTAGGAATGCACCCGGGTCTGCCACTGGGAGCCTCTTGTGTGAAATATGCCAAGAGAATAGATCCTTGCTAATTATGGTGCATGCATATTTCAGAGCTTGCCTTCCTCTGGATGCAGTAGTATGGGCCCAAAAAGGGACATTTTAGAGCCAGATCTGCTTGTAGCTGGGCAATGGCCAGATAAACTGGTAAGGGAGAGAAGTTTGGTACATTTCGCTTTGGGTTTGTTTTAGTTTTGCTACCACAGTTTTTATATTATTATGTCAGTGCTGGAGTATTTGCTGAAAGGAAAGTCACTACCTACACACGGCTGAAAGTAGGTACCATTACAGGAAAGCATACTTCTATTGAAGAGTTTCTTCCCCATAACTCCCTGCTGCCAAAATTGCTTTTCTTTATTCCCATCTCCCTGAGCTTAAAAATGGCATTATAGCAACTTAGAGTTGTGAGTTATTTCATAACAGTCACTGGCATTTACATAGCACTTAGTAATGGAATAGACAGATGGATAACAGTGCTTTTAAAACATTGAAGTGCTATATAATTGTCTATTATTATTATTATTGTTTATAGAAGGAGAAGGAAGAAAAGGAGAGGAGGAAAAGGAAAAGGAGACAGTTGCATGATGCTTCAAGGTTTTATTACATGATAATTTTATTATACATTTAAAAGGAATAGCAAGTTATACATAATAAAATTGTAATTGTGTGCAATCACTTTTTTCTATTCTACTATGTTATGGAAATGCTGGTTTTATTTTTTAAATTCAGAATAAAATAAAATAAATTTTAAAAAAAATCCCAACAGCATAAAAAATGAAATTAAAAAAATAGAAAGTTGACCTTGGAATCAGAAAGATTTAGGTTCAAATCCTGTCTTTGACACATTGGCTAAGTGACCCTGAGTGAGTCGTTTAAGTTTTCATTACACTCAAGCAACTCTCTAAGGCTATCAAATGCAGGCAAGTTTTCTACCTGCAAGTAAAGGAGTTTCCACATAAGGAGTTACCTAAGCTGCTGAATTTGCAGATCCAAAGTCCTCTCTCCTCCTAAAAAAAAAAATACTTGCATAGCTGTGTGACCCTGGGCAAGTCACTTAACCCTAATTGCCTCACATAAACAATCAAACCAATAAATAAATAAATAAACAAATAAATGAATGAATCAATGAGTAAATAAATAAATAGATAGATAGATAAATAGATAAGTAGATAGATAGATAGATAAATGAATAGATAAATAAATGAATGAATGAATGAAATGAGTAGATAAATGAATGAATGAATGAATAAATAAATGAGTAAATAAATGAATGAATGAATGAATAAATAAATGAGCAAACGAATGAATGAATGAGTGAATGAATGAATGAATGAATGAATCAATCAATAAATAAATAAATGCTTGCCAAGTGCTTTGCAGATATTATCTCATTTTATCTTCATAACCCTGTCAAGTAGGTGTTATAGATATGATGTGATGAGTTCATTTCTTCATCCCCCCCAATACCTTCTCTTCCCCCTTCAACATTATCTTGTAACTATACATATATACATATACATATATATATATATACACACACATATACACATACACAGATACATGTATGTGTTTAAGTATATGTGCATATGTATTTTGCATATGCATGTGTACCAGTGCATATATGTATAGACATGTACATACACACATATACTGTCTTTTCTAATAGAATACAAGCTCCTCAAGGGTAAGGACTGTTTAATCTTTACCTTTGTAAAATCAGTATCTAGAATAGCAACTGGCACATAGTAGGTGCTTAATAAATTTTTCCTGATTGATTCTTGTGTCCATTTTACCAGTGAAGCACCTCAAGCTCAAGGAGGTCGGGATTTGCCCCTTGTCACTTCACCAGTGGCCGAGGCAAGATTTGAGCCATGAGGTTTTTTCCCCTAAATTTAAGTCCAATGCCTTTTCCAATACACCCAACCATCTGTCCTAAGCCCCTTATTAGGGAAGCGCGCACACACACACACACACACACACACACACATGCACTCACATGCACACACATGCACACACACACATGCATATACATGCGCACATGCACACACAAGAACTATTACCTGCTTAAAGACTGAGTTGTAGAGCACACAAGTAACTGGTTTCTCATGGCTTGTGACCCTTTTGCTGGTCTCATTTTTCATCTCCAATAATGTTAGCTAGTTATTGAAGGCAATAAAAAGCCGTCCGTGAGCTTCATCAAAGTGGAAGAGACATTTAAACTCCTGACTCTTTGTAAAAGGACAAGCCATCCTTTGGATGGAGAGCTGATGCTGGATGTCCCAGAGTCTCAACACCTGGGTGAGGAGTGAAAAAAAATAGTGAAAAATAATCACCAGGCCACTGAAATGACTACAGTGCATCACCCCAACTCATTTTATAGTACCATGATAGGAAAAGAGTCTAAAATTGTGATTTTACTAACATAGGGAGCTCCAAATAAAGATATTCCCTCTACCAATGGACTTTCCCTGAAGCTTTCAGTCTTAACTAAATATATATCATCAGTATTCTCTACTGTTGGCATTTAACTAACAACAAAGGCTTGTTAAACACTTGGAACCATGAGATTATAGACATAGAACTAGAAGAGACTATAGACTAAGAGACCACAGTTCAATCTCTTCATTTTATATTTAAGGAAACTGGAGTCCAAAATGGTGAACTCACTTGCTCAGGGTCACATCAGCAGATAGTAATAGATCTGCACCTTGAGCCCAGGTCTTTTGACTTCAAATCCAGACCCGCTTTCTGCTGCACCTAGTTAGCAATGGATAATATGCTAAATGCTAAAAATATGCTGTGTGTGGATAATATGCTACATACTAAAAAATGTTCTATGTTGTTTGGGACCCACAAATGAAACAATCCCTGCCTTCAAATATTTTTACTTACATGACAATGACGTATAACAAATATGGTCTTTTGTTTGAAAAGAGGGTCCTTTCCAGTTCACCAAATGTGATTCAGATTAACAAGCATATATAAAATGTTTATGGTTAGAGTTGGAGTTGGAATTGGATTTAGGGTTAACCATTGTGCTAAGGCAATGGGAATACCAAATCAAAGATGAAATAGTCCCCACCCTCTAGGAGTTTACATTCCACTAAAGGTTTTCTTTGTGCACAATGCATACGAAGTACTTAATTAGTGATAGATGATTGATTGAAATATTCGGCTTTCTCCTATCTGATTCCTCCTTCCTCATATCTAAGATGCTGGCCAGTTCACATTAGGACTCTCTCCCTTAAAACAAAATTATGCTTCAGGTAAATGTGAAACAAGTACGGCATTAGCACGGCAGAATGGACAGAAAGCTGGATTGTAAGTCTGCCTATAACACTTAACTCATTGTGTCCACCTGAGAAAATCGCTTCGTCTCTGGGCCTCTCAGGCCTCTCTCTAAGACTTCTCTAAGTCATCAGTGGGTTTCATTGGTGAGAAAGAGACGGTTCCTACATGCTGAAGAAATCACAGATCTTTTGCTGCTCTGCATATCAGTCAACCAACAAGCATTTTTTAAAGCACCTTCTATGTTCCAAACAGTATGATATAGGCACTGGGAATGCAAACATATAAACAAGATGTGAAACAGAACCTGTCCTGATGTCCTCCCTCTTCCATAGGGGAAAAGTAATACAAGACAATTTGAGGTGATAGGCACTAACGGAGGGTGTTATGAAAAACTTCATCTGGCACCCAAGAAAAGCTTTCAAGGAAACTATGTATTCTAAGGTAAGGAAGGAGCATATTCTAGGCATGGGGACAGGCTGCACAAAAGTCTATATACAGATGGCAGAATATTATATGAGAACAACAGAAAAAATTAATTTGGACCAAAGAGTCAATCAACTATTATTTATGAAACACTTACTATATTCTAGGCACTGTGCTAAGTAGTGGGAATATAATGAAAGACAGAAAAAAAAAACAATGCTTGCAGTAAAGGAGTTCACAGTCTAATCGGGAGGCAGCATGCAAAATAATGAATTAACAAGATATAGACAGAGTGAAGTGAGGATAAGATTGGAATGAAGGCATTAAGAGTAAGGAACGCTGGGGAAAGGCTTCTTGCAGAAGATGCAACTTTAGCGAATGCTTGAAAGAAGCCGGGGAAGCTAGTAGAGATTAGGAGATTAGGAGACAAAGATTTACAGGCAAGGGAGAAGAGCTAGGGAAAATGCTCCCAGGGCAATGTTCATGAGACAAGTCAAGGCCTGGGAGCTAATTATATGGGAATCTAACTCTAATTTTTCAAGCAGAGTAGCCATCCATAAGAATCACAGTAGTGTGGAAAACTGAGCAGTGCATTGCATAGACAGATGGATTGGAATCCAAGTTCAAATTCTGCCTCAGATTTTTATTAGTTGTATGACCTTAGGCAAATCATAACCTCTCTGAGCCTGTTTTCCATCATCTTTAAAATGGAGATGATAATATCTACCTCACCAGATTGTTGTGAAGCTCAAGTTAGATAATATATGTCAGAAGTTTTGCAGACCTCAAACTGCTATAAAATGGTAGTTATTATTTGGAAGGGTTTGTGGAGGCTATCTACATGCCAGACCGAGGATGCCCTCTAAAACAGTCCTAAGAACTGGTCATCCAGCCTTTTTCTAAAATCCTCTATCAATGTGAGAACACCTGGCTCCCTGTCTACTTCTGCAGAGCTCTGCTTGTTAAAAAGTTTTTTCTTAGACTTAAAAGACGTTTTTCTTTCTCTGACTTCCACCCCATACTCCAGGTTTCACCCCCTGTGGCCAAGCAAAGCAAGTCTAATATTTCTTTGCCATGACAGCCTTTCAAATATTTAAAGGCAACTATGCTCACTCTAAGTCTTCTCTCCTCAAGATAAATGACTTCAATCAATCATCCTATTTCATGGTCTGAAGGCCCTGAACCATTCTTTGGCATCATCCTTGGGACTGTCTCCAGTTTGCCAAAGTTCTTCATTAAATGTTGTACACAAAACTGGATGCAGTTCTCCAAATATTGTGTCATCAGAGCAGAGTACAATGATACTGTTGCCTCCCTCATTCTGAACATGATGATTCTCTTAAAGCAGCCTAAGATTAGGTGGTACCCAAAAAATTAATGACTGCTGATGTGGTGAGTAGAGGGCTGCCCTCGGAGATAGGAAAATTTGAATACAAACCCCGTTTCTGACACATGTTGGCTATCTGGTTGGGTAAGTGACATGACCTCTCAGTACTCTAGGGAAGAGTCTAAGTTGCAAAAATGCTGAACAGCAATTAGTAGAAATTGTTTCCTCGTCTGGGAGTTCCCTAAATCACAGGGTCACTCACTATCCCCTAATACAAGGTACTTACTTTTTTTTTATTTTCATTCACAGTTCCAAGTTCTCTGCCTCCCACCACCCACCCCCCACCTTTGAGAAGGCAAGAAATACAATCCCTATTATACATATTAATTTATGTAAAACATTTCCACATTGGCCATGTTGAAAAAAGGAAAGAAAGAAAGAAAGAAAGAAGAGAGAGAGAGAGAGAGAGAGAGAGAAGAGAGAGAGAGAGAGAGGGAAAGAGAGAAAGAGAGGAAGGAAGGAAGGAAGGAAGGAAGGAAGGAAGGAAGGAAGGAAGGAAGGAAGGAAGGAAGGAAGGAAGGAAGGAAAAAAGAAAAAAGAAGGAAGAAAAAGAAAGAAAGATGCTATAATCTGTACTCAGAGTCCATCAGGAACTAGATAGCATTTTTCATTGTGAGTCCTTTGGAATTGTCACGAATCATTGTATTAATCAGAGTATAGCTAAGTCTTTCTCAATTGATTATCATTACAATATTGCTGTTACCATGAGCAATGTTCTCCTAGTCCTGCTCACTTCACTTTGGATCAGTTCATATAAGTCTTCCCAAGTTTGTTTGTTTGTTGTTTTTTTTCTGAAACTGGGATCCCCTTCACCATTTCTTACAGCACAATAGTACTCCATCACAATTGTATGCCACAATTTGTTCAGCAATTTCCCAATTGATGAGCATCCCCTCAGTTTCCAACTAACACAAAAAGAGCTATATTTTTTGTATATGTAGGTTTTTTTCCTTTTTCTTTAACCTCTTTAAGGCACTGATTTAGTAGCACTATTGCTGAGTCAAAGGCGTAGTTCCAAATTGTTCTCTAGAATGGTTGAACTAGTTCACTACTCCACCAACATTACAGTAGTGTACCTATTTTTCTTTGTCATCCCCAGCATTTGCTATTTTCATCTTCTGTCATCTTAGCCAGTCTAACAGGTATGAAGTGATATCTCAGAGCTGTTATAATTTGAATTTTTCTAATCAATAGTGAATTAGAGCATTTTTATATAACTATTGATAGCTTTGATTTCTTCCCCTGAAAATTGTCTGTTCATACCCTTTAACCATTTATTGATTAAAGAATGGCTCTCATTTTTATAAATTTGGCTCAGTTCTTTATATATTTAAGGAATGAAACATTTATCAGAGAAACTTGGTGTAAAAATTTAATACAGGGACATTTGAGGAGACAGAGAGAACTAAACAATTAAGGGAACCGAAGAAGGCTTCACAGAGATCAGCCTTGAAAGAAGACAAGAATTCTAAAAGGCAGTGAGAAAGAGGAAGTGCATTCCAGGAGAATGGGATGGCTTGTGGAGATACGTGGAGGCTGGAGATGATATATCAAGTGCAGGGAATGACAAACTGTCCATTCTGACTAAAATTTAGATTTTGGAAATGGGAGTAGTATGAAATTAGTCTAAAAAAGTAGACAGGAACTAGGCTATGGAAGGCTTTAAGCTCCAGGCTCAGAATTTTGAATTTTTTTATTCAATGGGGAGCCTCTGGAGGTATTTGAGTAGAAGATTATAGTCATAGCTCTTCTTATGATTATACCTTGAGAAGGTCATTTTGAAATGACATAGGGAAATATTTGGAGAGGTACCAATTAGGAGGCTATTGAAGTAGCCCAGGAAAGAACTAAGGAGGATCTGAGCTTGAGTGGTGGCAGTGTGAGTAGAGAAAAGGGACTAGATAGGAGAGGTGAACAGTGAGGAGCCAAAGAGATCAATGAGGTTGTAAGCTCAAGTGAGTGGGATGATGGTGGTTCCCATCACAAAAAAAGGGAAGCTTGGAGAAAGGGCAGGTGAGTATTTAACAACCAGCTATCTGTGGGGAAAATGTATGCAGGACACACTTTTAAGTTTAATCTGCATTATTAATATTTTCTCCATCACTTTCTGAAGTCTAGATGACCAACAAAATGCTAAATTGAGCTATAATTTGTAGCATTTGCTGATTTCCAAGGTATAACTACTCACACTGA